ACAGTTAATTAATCTGGTTTGTCTTAACTCTGGTTTATGCAAAAAAAAAAAAAGTGCTGTCACTTGGTTGAAACAACCAGGCGTTTTAAACTAAGATTCTGCAGTAGGCTCCAAGCTGTGCTCATTGCATCCAATTAAAACAAAAGTTTAAATTGAAAAAGTACTAGCTGCATGAAAACAAAACTTGCAGACAGGCTTACAGGGTCATCAGCAGCAATTTCCTTAAGGTAAACTGAAAGACACAGTAAACTTGTCGTTCAAACGTAAGGACGCAAGCAAAATTAAAAATGGGAACATGGATTTGCCAAACTGCTTTAAAATGGCCAGGCTATGTTTAAATGAACTGTATTATCATGTTTGGATAAGCTGAAAGTTATATGTATGCAAATTAGGGGTGTTATTCTTCTAACAACTTTTGTTACATTTCTTTTCTGTGTGCTACTGTTTTGTAATTATTCTATTGTATATGCAGTCTCTCTTCTTTCTTTCTGGATCGGAATGAATATTTGAAAACACTGCTGTATATACGTGTGCTGATATCCTGCTATTAGTTCTCTAGAAAGTCCATTACTCTTGGTGTAATTAAAGCCCCTCAAAATGTTTCTGCCTTCTGGCAACACAGGTCACATGTCTCTACATCACCTTCCGAGGTGTAAAACGCTTGGAAGCCGGTGAATCGACCCTCATTAGAGTAGTCACTCCTAAAGACCACTGACATGAGGTTTCCGGCTGACACGATGACGGTGTTCCTCGGGGTGCTCTCATGGTTCTTCTCTTCTTCACCACAAAATCGCAAGGTTTCATTCCCCTCTGCCAAAACCTGGTTTGACAAGGTTAGAGGCCTTTTGGTGAGCAAACTAGACTCCACTGATAATGGGAGCTTGAGTTTCTCCAGCATGTACCTGGATATAATCATATTCACACTGGTTGGAGGGTTCTATGCTGAAGTGGGTGAAGTAGAGTTTAAGCCTGTGGCCATCTGGGACAGTGATGTTCCACACTGCGTGCTGGTTATTCGGGTACGGCTGGGGGGGGGTGGGGGGGGGGGA